CCGGCCCGGCCCCGCCGGGCAGCCGGCCCCGAGCAGCCCGGAGCCCGGTGGCCTTTCCCAGCCGGGGGCAGACGGGTTGCCTCGCTTCCTAACCGCCCTGGCTGCCCGCATCCCTCCCCCTGGGATCCGGATAAATTAGATCTATGGACATGGAGTGAATGATCGTCGTTCGTCTCTCCGTGTGCCGAAGCAGGTCTCGTAAACCCGAATGAAAACCTGCAAGGGAGATAAAGTCCCCGTTGAGAGGTCGGGCGGGAGCCCGAGGGGGTGTGATGGGTTTGTGTGGCAGTTCCTGCAGGGGAAGCTTCGTGTTGGTGCCTCGGAATCTTTCTAATTACCGATCTGGTGGTGTTTCTCCCACACCCCCCCCCGATCTTTTCTGGGTACCGAGGGTCGGGCGCCGTGTCGCAGGGTGACAGAGAAGCGCTTTTCGGGGCCGTCCCTGTCCCTTTCGATCAGATTTCGATTTCCTCGCTTTAACTGGCCTTTTAAGCGAAATTACATTCCTCTTTCGTTAGTACCGGGGTTTCGAAACGGGTTAAACCGACACCGGCGATTCCTTTCATTCTCGCTAAAATTCCCAGATACTCCACTTTTTGCTGCCGACGGAGGCGAGCGGAGAGTCCTCGGGAAGCCCGTGTAACCTGAATGAGCCCCCACTCCCCCCCCCAAATCCCTCCTCAGCAGTGAGAGCCGTCTGCGGGGCACAGGATCGCCTTTAATTCCAGCCGGACTCCCTGCAAAATCCGTGGGAATTTTTTCCCCCACCCGGACGAGATTACCTGGGGTCCCCCCATGGTGACCTCCCCCTCAGCCCTGGGTGGAGACGGGGACACACACACACACAGAACAAGACCCCGCGTGTAGGAAACCCCACGGGAGCCGTGCTAGGGTCACCCCCGGCCGCAGCTCAGCCGCGGCGGGCCGGACCCCCGAGGGGCTGGGGATGGAGGGGCCGCCGCTGTCGCTTTAAATTTAAACAAAGTAAGTGGAGAAAGAAAAACTTCCCCCGTCTGAGGTTGGGGCCAAAATAATGCCAAGGTCCAGCCAGACGGACTCCCCTCGCCTCGGACCGCGGGTCCCCTCTTCAGCGGCGGGGTGGAGGTCCCGGTGGTCCCCGGAGGGGAGGGAGATGTGAAGGGGCTGGCGGGGCAATGCT